TTTCTAAGTCACCAGTTTAGTGCTACTTGGTCCCAATGGAATTTCCCATTGGGAACCTACTAGCACTAAGTTGCTAACTGGTTAGCAAGATGCATCTGACAAACCGGCCACAACCAAACATGCTTGCAAACTTTCCACTACAACAATCCCTCCTCCTTGATAAACGACCAATCACATTCACTTTATTCACTCGTGTATTGAATAGGGGGATTAGGGGGAGAAGCGGCTCTATTCCGAGCCTCTCCCTATCTCTAGAGCCCCTTTTCCCATTGTGTCAACCCTTGGTTTTGTTGGTGCATTGGTTTCAACCTTTCTTATGACTTGCTCTCATATGAAGATGATGCTTTTTCTCTTTCTCCAGCACCCTCTTGTGTCTACCCAGCTGAGCTCTACGTTTTGTCTTCTTTTGGCATATCTTTCTGCATATCTTCCAAAAACAGTGAATTATGGATCTGATTAGCTGGTCTAGCTAAAGTAGCACTTGCAGTATGAGTGTAAAGAAAGACATGAAAAAGATAAGCAGTTTTGTTTGTTTTAAACTTTTGATTAACAAAAACAGAACTTATGTTTATGAGAGTTTCACCCATGATATCAACTTTTTTTTATTTACCTCATAGGGATTTGAAATAAAAAAAACAAACAAACCCAGATATCCTCCCTTAAAATGACAGTACAACCAAAAACTTAATTGAAAAAAAAAATTAAAAATATCATACAGAAATAGAGACCACATCATTATGGAAATACAATTATTCACATCCTAATTGAATAGATAGAAACAAAATAACTAAGAGTGTGAAATTTCAAAAGAGATCTATGTGCCTCTTCATTTTGATCTTTATCCAAAAGTAAAGAGTGAGATAATTAAATATCTAATTTAACTAAAATGTAGAGATTTCTTTGTTATAAATTAAAGAAAGTACTGCCTCACTTTTCGGAGGAACTAACATCCGGAAACGTAGACAAAAGCCTTTCTTATGCTGGGCAGATGGTGTTTTTCAGCCACATAAAGGTTATCAAGTCACAGGGCCAGAGACAGCTGTGCAAACATTTGTTTAGAGAGCAAGGAGAGCTCCACCTAGGTGTGGCAGAAGCAACACTAGGCTAAGCAAAAGGAAAGATGAATACGCATATGAACAAAGCCGGTGAAGAAGAGTCAGAGTTAAAAGTGCTCCAGACAGATAGTGCACAAGCGTGTGTGAGATTTATACACTACACACCTGCCTTTTTTTTTTTTTTTTTTAAACAGTGTCCTGTACGGAAGAGGATTAGGGCCAGTGAAAAAAAAAAAAAAAAAGTTAACTGATTTGTAAGTTTTATTTAAGTTTAGTATGGGAAAAAAGTCAGAATTCTGACTTTTTTCTCAGAATTCTGACTGAATTCTGACAATAAAAAAAGTCAGAATTCTGACTTTTTTCTCAGAATTCTGACTTTTTTCTCAGAATTCTGACTGAATTCTGACAATAAAAAAAGTCAGAATTCTGATAAAAAAAAGTCAGAATTCTGAGAAAAAAGTCAGAATTCTGACTTTTTTTTTGGTCAGAATTCAGTCAGAATTCTGAGATTAAAAGTCAGAATTCTGAGAAAAAAGTCAGAATTCTGACTTTTTTTATTGTCAGAATTCAGAGAATTCTGAGAAAAAAAGTCAGAATTCTGAGAAAAAAGTCAGAATTCTGACTTTTTTTATTGTCAGAATTCAGAGA